GTGTACAACATAATGATTGAACAAGTTTATTCATTATGCTGTGCTCCCCCCGCACCCGAGCGTAGCCACCATCTGGTCATTTGTTTTATTCATCACCTCTTGTATGACTTCTCCATCTGGAAAGAAGGTTCTACTCTTTAAGTGAATGAATACTTTTTAGCAATAGGATGTCATTCATTCAATAAACATTTCGGCGGCATCTACAATGTCCCAGATATCATGCCAGTTTTGGAGCCTACAAAGATGAGCAAGTCTCCTTTCTGCTATTATGGGGTTTGGGATGATATAAAGGCACCTCAGGACACTGCCATAGGATATAATGCAAGACATGAGCTTAGCCTCACTTCTCAAATGAGAAGATTGGGACCCAGAGAGTTGAAGTGACTCATGCAAAGTGACACAGGGAAGGAGAGAGCCAACCATTTATATATAGACGTTCCCTGTTCTAACCCATGTTGCTTCCACACATACAACACTCACTCTTTACAGACTACAATGTTTTGGCAAAATCATTTATATCATAACCATTTGTGCATCTCCAATGCCTCAGACAGGACTGGGCGTAGAATGGGCACCCAATGAATGTTTGCTTAATTTTCTTTTTATCAGACATGGAAGAGAGGAAAACTGCTTTGAAGGTAGGTACCTAGATCAATACATACCATGGTGGTTGAAGATGGGAGCTAGCTAAGATATTGGGAGGATCTGATTAATACATTTGAAGGAGAGAAACATTATCCCCCCCCCACAATGCCATCCCCATGTATTTTGGCAAACATACCCTTCTGCTAAATTTTACACTATTAACAAGAACTTAGTGAACATTCAGTAATTTTAAGAGGCCAAGAGAGAAAGTGCTTCCTTTCAGAGACTTATACTTTCTGTGGATGGAATAGCATTTTTCATTCTGGTAGGTTCCCACATTTTGATTCCAGCATCCCACAGGACTGTTAAAACACATTCAACATTTTTATATTGGAGCGAACATATTTTTGGCTCCCAAAGTATTCATTTTGGTTCAATCCATAGCTGTATGGAAAGGCACGTGAACTTTATTTAACTTCCTTTAAAGAATCTAGCCGCGGATTACTTGGATACTGATAATAGTTTCATTTTGGAAAATGTACGTTATTGCTTATTGTGATTTTAAGTTTTAAAAATCACTGTCTTCTACTGAGTTTGGAAAGGTATGAACATGTGATAAAAACTGACCAGATATTTGATGATGTCCCCGAGAGCAATAAAGTATAATTTAAATATTAAAGTTATTAACCCGAAGTCTTTTAAAAGATAAAACAGACATAATACTAGGTTACTAGAGTTTTCTTTCTTTTTTTTTTTTTCAGCTCCTAACGTAGCTGCAACTTTTGAATGAAACCATAACTCCTTTAAAAATACAAGCAAGGCATGTCCAATTAATCATACAAGTTTCCCTCTAGATTGTTTTCAGACAGGTCACATTCCTAAGATGTTAATTTAAGCTTTCGTTCAATCTGTAAGTAGAATGAGTCCATAAAATAAGATTCTGTACAACAATAGCTCCACAAACGTGACTGCAACCTACTGTGGCAAAACTACGATCCTGTATTAATAGATATTTTCATAGTTCTTATTCTATCCATGTAATAGTAAGAAATTATTTTTAAAAATACGTATCTGGTTGAACCTAGGGAAGACTTCATGTTTTTATAATTTTATTTAGAGCTAGCCAATATTTCTCCTTGCATTTTGACCTATTTTCAAGGCGGTGTCTGTATTTGCAAGGAGACAGGTGAGGGACCCGGCCAGTTTTGGAGAACTCGATCACCAATTGGGGTCCTCCTTCCATTTCTCAAAAATAGCTCCATCAGGAAAAATTGAGGACCTGGTGAACACTCCAAAGATTTAGGGTCAGTCCGAGCTACCTAATATGGATGAACGAGATAAGGAGTTATGTTTAAATTAAGCAAAGGATAAATAAAAATTCTTAGCTCCAGGCTGGTATAGTGTTCAGTGACAATGTGTCAATTATCTGGTTAATTTGATCAACTCAGACAATGCCAGGGGATATTTCAGGTCCCAAAGATCAAAGCAAGAGGGAACTCTATTATTCTTTGTTCATTCCATCATTTCTTGTCTTATTCTTTATTGTGGTTTTCCTGCAGATAATATATGTTTAATGGCAAACCTTCAATTACAGGCAGAATTGTAAAAACCTACTAGAGAAGCTTTGTGTTTAGGAACAAGACTAGAGAAACAATGACCAAAAAATGGTTGCTTGTCACGGAGTAGTCAAACACGTCTTTCTCCCCGGGAATGGTTTGCACTTTGTTCTGATCACCCGTGGCAGACGCCGTGAGAGGTATGTCGCCCCATTTCCTGACTGAGGCTGTTTTGCAGCCTGAGACCTTGGTTTGTGTACATTTTCTCAGAGGTGGATCAAAGGCCTCTTGGCAAAAGTAATGAAGCGTTGTTGCTCTAAATCTGATACCTTGCAAGCTAAATACACCTCTCGAGAGAAAAATATAACTTTCCTAAAGAGAAGGAAAAGATGTTTCCTGCTCAGATGCTTGATAGAAAAGAAAAAGAACATTTAAAAAAAATTTTTTTTTGAAAAAATATCCAGAAATCTTCATCAGAATTCCATCTCTGTGCGTTAGGTTTAATGAAAGTGTAATTTCAGGGACTGGATCCATTGCTGAGCTCCCAACCACCCTTAGTCCAGTTTTGTTTTGTTAAGATTTTATTTATTTATTTCAGAGACAGAGAGAGACAGAGCATGAGCTGGGGGAGGAGGCAGAGGGAGAGGGAGAAGTAGGCTCCCTGCTGAGCAGGAAGCCTAGGACCAGAGATCATGACCTGAGCCAAAGGCAGACGCTTAACCGACCGAGCCACCCTGGGGCCCTTTCGGTCCAGTTTGATTTAGAGTTCCTGCTCTCATCTCTGGAATGAAAGAGTTAAGAGGGTTGGGAGACTATTTCCTAACCAAAGCTTCTTTCTGAGTAAGTGATGGGAGAACTCTGTGGGAGCTCCCAGCACACAGACCGAGGTGACAGGACTTGCTATCTCAAATGACAAGATAACAGGAATTTAAATGAATGTAAGTCATGGTCACCATCTAGAACCAAGGTTGCAAACTCAAGTATCTACTGGGCCAGAAGTTCCCTGTTGCTAGGAGATGTCCCAAATCTCTATTTTTATAAGAAATCACCTGATACTAAAGCATCTATCCATTTTGTTTCAGTGTTACACAGGTGTGGGGGCTGCATGTGGCTGGTAGTCATGAGTTTGCTAGCCATGGGCCGAGGTTTAGATTTTTACCAGTTTATTTATGTATTTATTTATTTTAAGCAGGCTCCACACCCACCATGGAGCCCAATGCAGAGCTTGAACTCACGACCCTGAGATAAAACCTGAACTGAGATCAAGAGTTGGACGCTTAACCAACTAAGCCACCCAGGCACCCCCTCCAAGATTTAAGACTTTTAAAAAATACATGTGTGAAAAGTTCAGAAGGCAAAGTGATGAGAATGGTTACACCATTATGTGACAAGTACTCTTTGTAAGCCCTGAACTTGTCTGAAATTATCCTTATAATAACCCTAACACTTAGCTAGTATTGTCTGCCGATTTTACAAACGTGAACATTAAAGGAAACGGATGTTAGGAAACCTAACCCAATAACTTGTCCAAGTTACACCGTTAGTTAAGAATCTGTCCTCTTAACCATATTAGGTATACAACATCTGACTTAGAATCGAAAATGACATTTTCCCCCCAACGGTCTTCTACTCATCTTTCTTAGTAAATGTTTAAAGGCAGTGCCTTAAATAATAATCATTAAATTAAGCTATTGTTTCTTTTATTTGAGAAGAGAGCAGCATGACCGGACTGAGTGTAGACATCATGCTTGTAGATGGAGGAGCGCCCAGGTGGCTCAGTCGGTGAAGCGTCCGACTCTTGATTTCGGCTCAGGTCATGATCTCAGGGTCATGGGATCGAGCCCTGCATCAGGCTCTGCACTCAGCATGGAGTCTGCTTGAGACTCTCTCCTTCTCCCTCTGCCCCTCCCCCTTCCTCACGCGCATGCTCGCTCTCTCTAAAAAAATAAACAAATAAATACTTGTAGTTGGAAACCATTCAGACTCCGGTTCAGTTCTGCTTTTTCCCTGTGTGCGTTAGACAAGCCTCTTCACCTGTCTCCCCACTTCATTGTTTATTTTTCTCGCAGGTCAGCAAGGTAGGTTTTCTATCCCAATTTTGTAGGTGAGAAACTGAAACTCAGGAAGACGACCTTGGTTGTCTGGTAATCTCAGCTCTTAGCAAGTGGTAGCCAGCGCGGCTTCTACACAACCTGAAGCAAATCGACTGCCTCTAAAAGCAGTGATTGAAGAAAGCAAAGAAAGCAACAAAGAAAGCAACCTCAGAGACACGGACGCGGACAAGGAAAATGAACGCGTGATACTTGTCTTGCACAGTCATCTGCAGATACACTGGCTGATTACTATCCATTAGTTTTTCTTCTCTTACCTTTAAGGAAACAACAACCTACACAAGGAAGGTCGTTTGCGAGGAAACACCAGCGTGACCACACATCCCATCTGATTAAAACTCTCTCGGCATTCAAGCAAGTGTTCTTTCTACTCTATCATTCTGCTGGTCCCAGGCCAGGTGACCGATGTGGTGAATAGCTATAGTGGTCTATCCAAATGGCCGACGCAGACAATATGGAATTATCTAAAACATTCCTACTATATTCCTTAGCGTTCAAGGCAGTCAAGGGCAGTCAAGGGCAATGCTGAGAGGCTGGCAACTAAATTTGAAAATCTGTGCATTCTCTTAGAGACCCACTGGACTCTTGCCCTCTTCCCCAAAATGGAAAGCCTGTCTCTTCCTCTTTGCACTTTGCAATTTAGCTTATTAGGAAACAAATCTGAACTAGAAGGAGAGGAGTTCTCCAAGCTAGCTCACTATAAATACAGCAAGAGGCACCGAGCACTAAACAAACAGAAGGGGCTTACTTCAAAGACCAGTGTCTCGTTGGTGGGTCCTGGTGCATACAGCCGTTCTGGGTGGTTGAAGGAGCGCTGGTATTCAAACACGGTCCCAGCAAAGGGGAACTCCCCAGGCCAGTCGATGCTCCAGCCCCCCGTGAGGTAATACTTCTGCCCCAGGCTTCTGACCGCAAGGTAACTGGAGGAGAGCTGCAGCTCCTGGATCTCGATGCTTCGGGCCCCCGCTGGAATGGTGACTACCGGATAATATTCTAAACGGGAAGAATAGAACAGTGCTGTTTTCCATGTTGCACACTGGAGAAATGAAGCTAGCAATGCTCAGAGACATAGAGATGTCCACTTTTAGAGAGTGGGGTTGTTGAATCATGAATGGACATCCATTCCTACTCCATGAAGTGCAAATAACTGATCAATTACTTCATTTTCCCAGGGGAAGGAACGCCAGAGAGAAAGTGTGTGTCCCTTTCCCAAGCACGTGTTGTGGACAGGGGGGACACTCTTCTTCCTTCCAGAACAACCAAGGCCACGAAACTCAATAACGCTTTTAAATCTTTAATCCACTTGGAAGAAACTTGCAGCCATGGACCTCAATAGTGATATTCAGGAAACAGGGCTCTGGGTTTCATTTTACTCAAGATTCGTTTAGATAATTGCTCCCAATATTCATCTGGCATCGTGAGTGTGGATCACGATTCACATCCTGAACTGTAAGTTTCAAAATCCGATCTTTGTTTAACAAAGTCCTGTGGGACAGCGGACAAACTGCAAAATAAAAAGGCATTTGATGGACACATCTCAGAGTTGTATGTGTTGACGGAACTCCTCACACTGAGAAACCAGCCATCCTCACTTGTTCTTGCAAGGTGTCAAAGCCATCATTCTGTGCGTGTCAGGTGAGCCGGTAAACGGCTCGATCACAGCCAGCTTGACAGAAACTTGTCAGCAGCAAAGCCACTGCAATGAAACGGGAGGGATCGCTTACCGTTGGCTTTATGCTGGTTGAGGTATAGGCCTTTATAAAACTTGCAAGTCGAATTATCCCCTTTGCAAACACCACACGCATCCAAAACTGCTTTAGAGCCAAGTTCATGATCGCATCCCACTGGCTGTGACAAAAGTAAAAAAATAATAACAATAAAGTGAGAAAAATCAGAAAAGCCAATGGCTACGAATAACCAAGAGATACATGGGGCTCTAGCTTCAGAATATCCGGAAGACAGTACAGCTTTAGGGTTAAAGGCAGAGTCTCACATTTGGGGGTTCAAATCCCTCCTCTGCCTTTACCAGATGTGGGACTAGGGCAGTTACAGAACTCTTCCAAAGCTTGCTGAGACCCTTCATCTGGAAAACTGGAATAAAAAGTCACTGCTGCTACTAACAGCAGGTGATCTTACTTGGGCCAGCTCTCCTGCTGAAACAGAAAAATGCTGAGCCCCCACAATCCCGAGAGCCCCCCACACAATGGAATTAAAAGGAAGACTAATTGGCAGGAAATAGGAGTACTATGTCAACACACACCTGTGAGGCTCTGACCATATAGTGAACATACTTAGCAAACAGGCAATGGAGGTTTACTACTGTTCTTTACATTCCTATTTAATTTTTGCAGCTACTGCGTGTAGTAGATACATCATCATCTCCATTGCATACTTGTGGAGACAGGTGAAGAAGAGCTAATAAGAAGGTCGGAGGGGTCTTGCAGAACATCAGTGGGGACGTTAGAGATAGTCTGCACATCCAATTTGCAAACACTGGTCTTTTCCCCTAAGCTGTGTTTTCTCCAGACACAGAATCTCTTGTACCACTTCTCACGGCACATGTTTGATAGGAGGAAACACCAGCATGACCACACATCCCAAAGCAGAAATGTCTTCTTACTTCACAAATCCCATCAATACACACGTCGTGTTTGTCTGGGGAGCAAGGAGTCCCATCTTTCACCTTGCTGGACATGGCGAAAAAAAATTCAAAGTTCTCAGCCTTGCAGTATAGTTTACATCGATCTGCGTCTAGAAGCAAAGAGATCAAGACAGGACGTGATCAGGAGGAAATCACAGCAAAATGACATGATGGCCAAAAGGATGAATTAAGTTTATTTAGAAAGCTATCATGACTAAAATGGGAAATGTTACACAGTTTTGTATGTGGGTGTGGGTGTGCATGCATGAATGCATATATATGTGCTTTTAAAAACAGGAATCTCGCTTGCAGTTCAAATAAAACTGCTCTAACACAAAAATTTCATTTTTCTCATCCTTAATAATAGCCATAGTACACACGATTGGTGAGTTATACAGCTCCTCTCCTTGGTTAGCAAATATTTTAGGCTTTACAGGACTTACGGTCTGCTATTGACAATATATAAATGAAGGAGCATTTCCGTGTTCCAATAAAACTTTATTTACAAAACAAACAAACCAAAACTGGTCAGATTTGGCCCACAGGGCGTAGTTTGCTGACCATGATTGAGGACATGGATTACTTTAGATATTTATTCGGGTAGTTAAGAGAAAAAATTTTAGGCACTTTGGGGGAAAAAAGGGGGGGCATATGGTTCATGTTTATAAAACATATAGAGAATAATCATGTCAGGAAAAGGAAGAGGAAACAAACTAAACCTAAAGGCTAAAAAATGCAACTTTTATTGACCATAAAGTCCCTGAGAAGTTTCTGGTATCACAGGCAAAAAGAAAAAAAAAAACAACACTGTATTTCTACAGAGCTCTTGTTATCAGAAGGGAGTTATGCCAATTTCCCAAATACAAAGCATTCTTCTTGGCCAGTAGCTCCAGATGACATTTCTCACGGGAGACCGTGCGTGGGCGACACCATACATCAGCCCTGACAACAGTTGTACAACAAACGTGTAAACAGTTTGCAAATCGCTGTGCTTCATAAAACCTCTTAATAAAAGACAGTCAAAACTTAAATGTGAAAGTATTTAGCTTATCATGATCCAAATATGCAGATGTGTCAATGGATTAAAAGTTTCTCCTTTACCTAGAAATCTCTTTTAATAGCTTTATTAAACACCTCCCAAATTTTGCATCAGAGGCTATGGAAGACATATCTATACCCTTTCTTTTCTCAGTCATGCCCAGGAATGAACAAGTTCTAAAAAGTTCAGTTTTACCCACAGAGGCTCCAGGGTAAGTTTCTCAACTGGTCTGTTGGAAACACAGAAGGGAGGAAAAAAATCTCACTACTGTAAGACAAAGACTGTCTACATTTACAAACAGTCTTCCCTTGTTCTTCCCCAACCTGCATGAATGTCACCAGACCTTCAAATCATGGTCAGTGTTTCCCGATTCTAAGTACGTATCAGAAGGAGAAGAGGGAGAGACAAAAGGCCTTAATTTTTCTGTCTCCTATGCTGGGATGGGGGCTCCCCAGGCTGGGTCTCTGTTCTACTCGGTGTAGCTCCCCCTGCATCTAGCAGAATGGCGCCCACGCAAGAAATGCTCAGTAAACATCCATTGAGCAAATGAATGAAGTAGCATGCTCCTTACTCAGTAAGGCTGCAATTAAATTAGTGGAAAACTTTTGAAACCAAAATATATTTCACAAGTTACAAAATTTATTTGCTTCACTGTCTCATGTACTCAACACAGAACCTATTTAAAGGGTGATCACAACACACACTCTGTAAACACTGTGTATGAATGGAAGACATGATGTGGGGAAGACCAAGGAATCTCCAAGAAGACAAAGCAAGGAACAGAAGGGGAAGTGAGAAAGGAAGGGCAGCAGGGTCTGGGGGAAAAGGCCATACATTAAGAATCACGGAATGACAGGAGTGTTCAACCAAGAGAAAAGAAACCTTCAAATGCTGGACTTGAAAGCAACTGCAGGTGTTCTATCTATCTGTCCCCAGGAACATGTTTGTGCAGTGCCCTTCCTAGATAATCGCTCAGTTCCTGATAGAATGCCTCCAGCGACGGAGAGCTGGCCACTCATAAAGGGGAAACAGGTCCATTATGGACAGTTGATGCTTATTTATTCACTCATTCGTTCTGAAAGTTATAAATATGTGCCAAGGGCTGTTCTCAGATGCTGGAGGTCCAAGCATGCTCAAAATGGACAAAGGCTTCATCCCGCGGAACATAAATTCTTGCAGGGAGAAAGATAATGAATAAGCGACTATATGATACAAACTCATGCACGGTTAAGAGCTATGAAGAACAACGCAGGTTAAGGATTGAGAGAATGACAAGAAGGAAGGATATTCTGGGCAGGCTGGCGAGGGAGGCCTCCCTGAGAAGGGGCTATGGCTAAGAAGTTCTTAGCCTTTGAACAAATACTGTCCTTTGAAGTGATTTCAAATAAATCTAAATCCTTTTCTAGTTATTACCTCTGAATTTTTGCGGGTACCTGGTTTCTTTTCTCTTTTTCTTGGTAAGTTTCTATATTATTCTACTGGAGAATTTTTTTTTTTAAATGAATGTATTCCCGGCTTTGTCACTGAAGTCCAAGAGAGATGAAAGACAAACTAATTTTGCAAGCACACATTTTTTTCCATAAAGCAAGAAAGAGGCGTACCATGAAGCATGACTTTAAAAAAATGGTTCAAAACTCATTAATAAACCCTGCACCTATTATCTCTTAGTGCAATTTGAAACACTGGAAATAACAATAAAGGGCTGAGTTTCTATTTTAAAAAAAGAAACACGTACAAGTAGACACTTATAGATGGCTCACTGCAACTGCAGAATTTTCATGCCGGTCTCTCTCTGTGCTTTTGGACAGCCAGTCATGAGCCGGAACCATACAGAGCTCCCGCGACGGCTGGGCGGGGGCTGGGCAGAGCGGCACTATCACTGTCATCCCCCTTGTTAGGCGTCGTGTGCGGTCTCTAACTCCGCTGGCTTCTCTATGGTCATTGACAACACGGGTTCTTTTTGAGCTTTTGCCCAGCTACGACCCTCAGTCTTATTTCCCACGAATTGCCACTAACGTCAGGGCTTCCCATTCTACCCGTGTGCCCTTGGGGCTCCCAGTTACCCTTTCTCAAGCAAGGATGGCTGAGTTTTGATAAAGCAAGGGAACTGAAATAATAGAAGGCCAACAACCCGAACGCTGACAGCTTAGTCTGCGAAGGTAACAGAAAGCGCATTAAATGTGTACATTATAACTAAAATAAATGTTTTGATACTATAAAAACAATTCAATTTAAAAGGTAAAATACAAGCCACAACTTTAAATAATAGTAAGTACTAGGAACCCAGTATGGAGACATTTTGAAATTCATGGCTATGAGAGAGAGAGAGAGAGAGAGAGAGAGAGAGAGAGAGAGAGAGAGAGAGGGTGTGTGTGTGTGTGTGTGTGTGTGTGTGTGTAATACCCTGCAAACAGGCCTTCCCATGTATCCCATGATATTCCCATATCATATAACATATCAGTTGCTGAATATGGTGTCTCTATGGGGCATATATGGTTTCATGGGTTTTTGGTTTGGACAATTCATACTAATTTCAATTAACATCCCTGGGAGACTTAATTGCTGAAATGTCAAAGGTAAGTTTCGAAACATAAGTACATTCCAAACACATGAACCCTTTGGCTTACAGACGTGGGGGACAAAGGGTTGTCTTGTGAAAAAAAAAAAAGTATGGAAAAATAAACAAAACCTATGGAAGTGAATGAAAAACCAGGTCAGGACAGGTCTAGAGGATGACGTCAACATCGAAACTCTTTTATGTTGGCAGCGATTTCGTTCACATTGCTGTCCACAAAGAGTCATATTTGTTGGAGGTTTAGAGAGACCAAATTACCTTCCACTTTGGTATAGGGCTTCCACTGGTAGAACCATCCACGGAAAGGTTTGCTGTTATATTCTGCACACTGCTGGGCTCGGAAATCCAAGCTATTTTCATTACAAGGGTTAATATTGCACAGCTGATATATACGGCTAGAACCTGGACAGAACTTGCCACCATACTGAGGCCTAAAGATAAAATGAAAGAGCTTTAGTGTGAGCAAACAGAGGGCTCATTATTAGTCATAAGCAATAATATAAGGAGGGACAATCAAGATGAACATTATCAGAAGGCATGCGGTGTATGCCATCTATGACAAGAACGGAAACAATGTAGTATACGACATGCCATGTCCCTCCTTGTATCCATGGCAGGCAGAACCCATCCATCAGGGACTTGCGCTTTCTTTTCTTTCTTTTCCCAATATAGCCCTTGGGGAGGCATTACCACTGCTCAGCAACTGGAACTGCCATATTCGATAAAACAGACTTGTCATCCCTGATCCCAGTGTTACATTCTGGCTATTTCCTTAAAGAATGATGAGAGCATATTCTTGATGCTCCTCATGTTAACCTGCTTTGGGAAATCTGTAAATGCACCTAAATGTTCTCATTAATGTAGACAGATGTGTGTCTGTGTGCTACAAAGCTCTTCAAATGTGGACCCAACCTACTCCCCAGCTCTCCTCCCATTTCTAAACACACCCAGCTTCCCTACAGTATGTCATCCACCTGCTGCTACGTAGAAAGTCAGGACACCGAAGAGAAAGAGCAGAAAGCCCCATTTGCCATGTCCTCCCATCTGGCTCTGTCAATCATTGAGCCAACGTTCTGATTGTTGTCTGACTGTTGTATATTTTACTCTAGTTGATCCTAAACTGTGACCAAAAATTCCCTTGTTTTCAAATGCATAATCACTTTTTAACTTTGTAGGTGGCCTACTCCTCTCCTGCCAAGCACAATGGGAAATGGATTTCCAGAGTAGGGAATCCCATTAGAACATAAATAATTATGATCTAATGGCCAGCTCTTTAAGCTCTTGGTAGGTAGACTGCAAAAACCAGAAAGCAATATAAAGAAAAAAGGAGCATAAACCAAAACGAAAATGACCAATAACGGCTTATCCAGCTTCTTACAGGCACAAAGCAATTGCTTTTTCTCATGCTCACTTTTTTGTGCTTTTCTCCAAAGGCTAAAACCCAACTACGGATCATCTCACACAAAAGCTCAAGGCAAACATGTAACATGAAAGAAGCCTCCAGGTTAATAAATTTATGTGATTAAAATTCCTTGTCTCTTTAGGAAGCACAGGAATGCTATAAAACACCCCTGGATTTGCTTCAGCATATTTTATCAAATCCTCGTGCAACTGCATGCTAAGATGGATTCAACAGAAACGGGAAGGGTCACAACGCCAGAATGAGATTTTTTTGCTATTTCAAAACACTCTGGAGCAACTACTTAAACATTCAGCAGCCATTGTGCTGGATTAAATCCCCGAAGACTTCTTAAATCATTATCTGAAAAGCGCTTAGAAAAACCTTAAAGGGCCCTACAATAGCTTTACTATTCCTGGTCATTTGTACAAGGCATATTTAAAACTTTCTTAGTTGAAGACGTTCTGTCTGCAATTTTACAAATAGCCTTCATTTAGACTCCTCAGATTCGATAAAGCGAAAGAGGACCACATGTGTTACTTTGTCAACTCGGAAACCGTAACACAGAAAAGACCTCGAAACTTCCATAGCACCCCCTCATTTTGTAGATGAGGTGAAAGACGGATGAGAAAGCTCATAAAACTTGCCAAGTGAAGATCCCATAGCCAGCCAGAGACAGGGCACAGTTAAGCCCCCTACCTTCGACTCCCCGGGATGCTTTCCCTGAGCCATGCTGCCTGCATTTAGCTGAGTCAGGCTGCAGGGGCCGGCAGGGAAGAGGGAGACAGTCAGGCACAATGGTTAGGGAGCTGGCCTTTTATAATGAGGCCGGTCTGGATTTAAATATTCTCCGCCTTTTCCCAGCTTATCTTTAGGCAACTGTGTTTAACCTCCTAACCTGTAAAATGGGGGCAGTTGTGATGATTAACAGTGTGATGTTTGTAAAGAATTTAGGGCTGACAAAGTACGGGAGCAGTCCATGTGGCCATCAGTAGGTGAATGGATAAAGAGATGGTATATGTACACAATGGAATATTATTCAGCCGTCAGAAAGAATGAAATCTTGCCATTTGCAATGACGTCCTGGATGGAGCTAGAGGGTACTGTGCTAAGGAAATGAGTCAGTCAGAGAAATACAGAGAAATATGATCTCACTCATATGTGGAATTAAAGAAATAAAACAAACGATCACAGGGGAAAAAGAGAGAGAGACAAACCGAGAAACAGACTCTTAACTCTAGAGAACAAACTGACGGTTACCAGGGGGGAGTGGGTGTGGGGATGGGGGACACAGGGAATGGGGATTAAAGAGTACATTTATCATCCTGAAAAAAATAAAATAAAATAAAATGATAAAAAAACAAAGGTCACAAAATAAATGAGATATGATCTTCAAAAAAAAAAAAAGAATTTAGGGCTGAGTCTAGGGCACAGTTAACACAGATCAATCATAACTTTAAAATGTTTTCTGCTTTTAATGACTGGCAAGAATTTGTACTTTTCCATCAAATCCTCAACTACAGGTACATTTTTTCTGCAGCTGTAAACAAAAGTGTTAGGATAAACTGACAGAAAATTCTACCATGACATCTTTTGGTGTAACAAGATTAAAAACAAAAATATAAACAGTCAGAAAACAAATGTGCCAGTAGGGGAGCTCTGTTAAAAAAAAGATAGCCACACAGACAGATGGACTGACTCCTGGGTCCCTCCAGATTTCTCAATAAGAATGTATGAGGGGAATATCCAGAAATCAGTGTGTTTTTATTTTTAAGCATACTTAGTGATTTTGATAATCACCTGAGCCTGGAAATTACTGGTTAAAAAATGGGCCAGAGATTTAATTCAATTATTATTCTAGAGCTATGACTCTAGTGGCATATTATTTTTTTTCTCCAATAGACTTGCATTTTAGGAAAGTTCTAGAACGCCTTTGCATCTTTCATTTTCACTACTTAAATTTTTGCGATTTTTTTGAACAGACTTTATAGAAATTCCACTAGGCTCCTTTAGACTGTAATAAGTGAATAGTCATGGAACCAGAAGGAATGTCAGAGGATTAAAAGTGTGGGCCCCTGGTCTGACTCTACCACTACCAGCTTGGTGACCCAGGCAAAGATTGCTGCTCTGGGACCCTCCGCCTGCCCTGGTTACTCATTCGCCAAATAACTGGATCAGACAACAGGTTGCAACTCATGCATCTGTTCTAGGCAGACTGGGAAGGAAGGCCTGAAGAAATGTTTCGAGGTTCCTGAGGCATAGTAAGGTTCAGTAGAAAACAGAGCTTCTTTCCATTAAAAATGTCCACCTCAGGGGCGCCTGGATGGCTCAGTTGGTTAAGCGTTGGACTCCTGGTTTCGGCTCAGGTCATGATCTCAGGGTCGTGAGATGGAGCCCCACGTTGGGCTCTGTGCTGAGCATGGAGCCTGCTGGAGAGGTTCTCCCTCTCCACCTGCTCCTCCCCCCACTCACATGCTCTGTCTCTCAAAAAAAATAAAAATGAAAATGTCTACCCTAGACATGGGAAAAAGAAGGGCCATATGTGTGTGGTACCAGTGACTCCAGAACCAGATAACCTTCGAACATTTTTAAAGGTGAAAAGTTGGGTAAGTCCACGAATCAGCCAGGAATAGTTCATTTTTATGAAACAAAATATGTTCTGGGAAAACCATCATTATGTGAAATAAAAGCTCCTACTGCTTCTCACATGAGAAAATGAAACTGGTTAGGTGGAATAATGTGAACACACCAAATGTTTGAACTGAAGCAAAGAAGAAATCAGTAATTTAAAATGAGGGGGGAACCTCAGTTTTACTACAACAAAGTGAAATAAGAACAGAGAACAACTAATTCAATTGCCTTGGGACAACTGCTCATGTACTTGTTTTATTTGTGAGGCATAATTAAAGTAAACAGTATCCCAAGGAGCCTTAATCTTGTTGAAAATGATAAAACGGCACCAAATGGAACTACATTAGTGATTCTTATTAGGCATTTCTGAAATTACAGTATGATCTTTCTATGAACAATACCCTATTATAATGAGAGTTCTCAATCCCACAGATATGAGAGAGGTTTTAATTTAAATCTCAGGGGTGTCATTCACGCATGTTACCAGCAGAGCTATTAAATTAGGTAATCTATTTATTTCTCGGGAAAATACTGAGCTGTAAAATGTTGTGATGTATGAAAACCAGATCTGTGAAATGGGCTGAAAAAATGAAAATATAATGATTTTAAGAATCCTACCCAAGATATGGGCTACATTCAAAGTATGAGGAGGGTGGTTTTAATAGTCTGATATAAGCTGGAAATGCATCACAAGCCTGTCTGCCATCACGCCTAGTTACCGGATCGGAATAAACCAGTGAGTTTCACCTGGGGATGGCTTTGCCCACTATAGGACATGCGACAGTCTCGGGACATTTTTGGTTATCAGGGGGCTGTCGGGGAGGGAGCGCCATCCTACTGGCATCTAGTGGGGAGAGGTCAGGGCTGCTGGTAAACACCCTGCCATGTCCTGGACAAACCCCCTAACAAAAATTTTCCAGCCCAAAATGTCAACAGTGTCCAAGTTGAAGAATACTGTTAGCCTGAGATCCCAAAGAGCACCTAGCAAACCATGGTCAAAGTGTCTTCTGACCCTCTCCTAGTTGGGAACAAACTGGCCTCTTGATCCAGCTCAGGCTGCTGACTCAGATAAAACACCAGGCCCCTTTTAAATTTTCCTTCTGCTCCAGTTTATTTATTTTAATTCTTAATCCACCAAACATTTATGCGATGCTTGTAACATGCCAGGCACTTTGCAGAAGCGCTTTGCAAACATTAACTCAGTTGATGTAGGTACTCCCCTTAGTCCATTTTTTACCAGTGAGGAATCTAGAGCAGGGAGAGAAAGTTGTCTATGGCTACATAGCTGGAGAGAGGCAGGGCCAGGAGGCAAACCTAGGGTTCTGGGCTTAGGAGCCTGCGCTCTTGACCTTCATGCTATACCACCACTCAGTGCTGTGAAATGAAATCCCTATCTTCCAAGGACCCTTCACATTCTTCTCTCTCTACCACATTCTCCAAAAGTCCAGTTTCGTCAGTAAGGCCTCCCGCCCCCCTCCCCTTGTTTTGGAGGACCCATCCTCCGCTAGCCGGTACTCCCAGTCGAGTTTAGGACGAAGGTGATAAAAGCCACACGGACCCCGGATCCTTTTGTTGAATGCCCACTGGAGAATCCCTGGTAGGGGGCATTCTACAGACCCCCTTCTCATTCCCCCAAACCTTCAGAGGCGGCATTACTGTCTCCACCTTACACATACATTCAAGCTCAGAGTTCAAGTGAACTTCCCGAAGTCACATAATTAATAGGCGGCAGACCCAGGATTTGCAGTCCCATCTGGCCCTCAAACCTGGGCTCTCTACATCCCTGTGCCAATCAGGGAGTATGCATCTCCTGCGGGTTGCACACGGGGATAAGAGCAGAGGAAAGGAACATAAAACCGCCTTTGTTTTCAAAGAACACAGAACCCCGGTACACCCGGGGCCAGAGCGTGCCCACAGATGACCACAGGTCAGTCTCCCATCTGTAGACGCTGCAATTAGTCCTCACTGTGTTCTGTTTAAAGAAAACGGAATTTGTCGTCAGTATCTTAACAGTCGGGAAATTTCACACACATTTTTTTTGGATTTCTGGTTTCTCTTGAAAAGTCAGGCAGATCTGTCACCACGTGTTGATGTACATTCCTGTAAGGCAAAAATTAGCATACTTTCTCCAGTTCATCAGTTTGAAACACACACACACACACACACACACATATTCCACTGGCCAAGCTTCTCTGCTCCACAACACAGGCATTTGACTGTGTGACCGTGTGGCTCAAATTTAGATTCAGAAATGAGCTCGGGCTATCACTTGAGTCTCTGATTGTCCTAGTCACACATACATAGAGCAGCTCCTTTGTTGTTTTTGGGTTTCTGACTGTCACACCCCCACCCCCTGCCCAGTGCCTGTAGCTTGTATATGCAAACAGTAAAACCCCAGTTTGGTTGCGATTCACCGGAGGGAAGGAAACTGCACTTAAAAACCAGTACGTAAGCAAAACAAAACCCAAACCGTACATTCTTGCCTTTTATGAACATGGACTTTCTTTGGAGCCTTACTTGGGGTTATTGCAGTGTCTCTCTTGATACTTGACTCCGCCACCACAGGTTCGCGAACACTCTGACCACTTGGACCAGGCGGACCACTGGCCGTGGACGGGCCGGGGGCCGTGCTCCCCGAACTTCACACACTGGCCTTGCCGACACCACTGTAAAAAGAAGGTGCGACACGTTTCCTGTCAGAGTCCACGCAGGGACAGGAAGGAGAGGCAGTCACCTGCGCATTAACAGAAAAACGAGCGTGTCGGCAAATGGGAGAACCCAGGACACCTTGACAGGTTCCTTGGCCGGCTGCACTTTACTGACACCGGGTTACTCTGCATCTACTGTGTGCGTTTTGGAAGGCTGACATCTAGGGAGGGGGCATCTGTCACCAGCAGGCAAGGATCGTATGCTTTGTGAGCTGTCGAGGTGAAATGTTCAGATAATATTCCACCCAACAGCCAAGGGACTCAGTGCAAGCACAAGGACAACGGAGCCTCCCCCAAAATCTAGAAACAAGGCTGCTTCGAGAACAATGTGGATCATTCACTCAGGGAGAACCGGGTTTTTTTTTTTTTAGGTATGAACAAAGAATTTATCATTCTGATGATCTTATCATAAAAACAGATACAATTATGCAGACATTTTTGTTTATCCCAAACCATCCCTACGGAGCACTTCTTATGAAGCCCAATAGTTCTCAGTCCAGGCCAAATGTGCTTGTAGATAACATCCTTTGACCTTTTTGTCTGTATGAAAGGTCCCTGCTCCAGACCCTCGGATGACTTTGAGCTCTCCTAGTGTCTTTGAGGAATTAGCTCTGGGTCTTTCATTTGCTAGTGCTCTGATCGAGCCAGGACAAGAACGGTTTTCCCCTCCATTTGTTTTCTTTTGCAATACATTCCAGGCTTTGCTGGTCATCTCTGTCCTTGGGGCTTGCATTAGCCTCTGGTAGTGGTTTTATTCCTGTGGTGCTTTTATTATGAGCAAGTTCTGCATGACTTAGCGTAATTGCACACTTTCCTAAAAGCCTCCACAGTGAGATCCAATGGACTGGGGTTTGGACCATGCATGCTGGGTTCTGCCGAGGAGTGGGGCTTCAGTTACAGAATTAGGGGGAGGTGGTTTGACTTTCAAATCTTCGCTTTCCCCCTGGGATACATTTGGCTCCTTGGCTGTTTATTGCGAGGCGAGTGCACTTTGCCCAGATCAAGATATTGCTTCCTTTCTTCAAATTCTTGCCGTGTGCGGATTACTTCTTGTGTTTTTCATTTGTCTTTTCCCTGGGTTAATTGCCATTTCAGAGTTTGCATGAACTCCTGTAACACCATTGAGCCCTTTTAGGGGGAAAGCAATTGGTCATTAGAGGATCTGGGCCACTGCGAGCAGCTATCAGAATCTTCCCGACCAGGAGTCCCCGGGACTGTCCCGGCTGAGCTCAGGGGCAGACACAAGATAAGAGCCAACAGCAAGAGCAGGGGCTGTAATTTATGAAGTTGCTCCTAGGTGCCAGAAACGGTGCAGGCAGGGGGAGCGGGAAGACTTCCCGTGCACTTCCTAACATAATCCTCCCAAAGCGCTAAGGAGTTAATAACTATTTTCTGGATGAGAGGAATTCAGCAAAGAAATACTAACAGAGCTACCCAAAGCAGCCACATGGCTACAGCTGAGGCTCGATTTCAACTCACCAAAGCTCCTCAACAGGATATGTATCCTTCTCGCCTCAGAGGCAAATGCTCCGCGCCCAACCCGCCCCCCACCCCCCGCCATAGGTCTTAACCCGAATTTCTTTTTTTTTTTTTTTAAGAAATATGATTTTTAGATCTGTTCCAAACCTTCAATTAATTTAACTTTATTTCAGGATTCATCCTAGTACTGGCTTAGGTTGCCAGAAGATTGTCTCCTCTGGCTTTTTCATTCAGTATAGAAATCAGAAGTAAATACATGAATGCGCGCGTGCGCGCGCGCACACACACACACACGCTCTTTGGATCTCATTGCAGAGGCTTTCAGGGAAGTGTGAAGTTATTCTAAGTCATGCAGAACTTGCTCATAATATACATATTATATATATGTGTGTGTGTGTGTGTCTGATTCACACACACATGCATAATATACATTTATAAAATTCTACATATAAAATTGTATCTATCCATACATGTATAGATATGCCTTTCTTCTAATTTCAAACTGAGTGGCTGTAACTGGGCAGACACCTTTTATCACCAACAGAAAACACAAGCCTTTCTCTTCTTGCACATGTAACTAGATAAACGTATGTGCTTTTTCACATCTTCACATGTTTACTGAACATTCATGGTCCAAATATCACTGAATGACCAGGGACTAGAAAGATATGGGGAAGAATTCAGCTAGGTTCCAGTTACAAAGGAACAAAACAGAGAGTAGTTGCTACTCTGTAGGACACTTGATATAAAGCATAAGGCACAGTCCTGGCCTCACGGAGTATATAGTCTAATGAAGAGCTGGTTCCATCCCCTAGAGGAGGAAGAGTCCGAGAACCTTGCATGTGGATGCAGTAATAATTAAACCGGAGTGATGATGGACAGAACTCATCTGAATGCTTTCTGCTGAGGGGGAGGCCTTCCCCCATTCATTCAAGGGCATTCCCCCAGTATTTAAAACTGCAGTCTGGTCTTTTAAAATAATGAGGTTGGGAAGTGGCATGAGGACATCTGTTTTCTAACTTCTGGACCGATTTGTCTCAGGTTACAGTAACTAAAGGCTAATCCAGAGGCATTTTCATGCCCATGGAACTACATCCCTGGTGTAGGTAGGTAATAAAAACTTTAGCCCTATGCCACTTGGCATTTACTTTCCTTGCTTATTATATCAATCTATTCTTGTACATCCCTCTTATATTTAATGCTGTTGCATTCATAAGGAAAAAACACCCACTAATCCTTGAGTTTCAAATCCTAAGTTTTGATGCTCTAAAAATAAAAATGATGGGGCGCCTGGTGGCTCAGTTGGTTGAGCGGCTGCCTTCAGCTCAAGTCATGATCCCAGGGTCCTGGGATAGAGTCCCTAGTCAGGCTCCCTGCTCAGCAGGGAGTCTGCTTGTTCCTCTCCCTCTGCCCCTTCCCCCCCAACTCATACTCCCTCTCTAATAAATAAATACAATCTTTAAAAAATAAAAATGACTTGAGCAGTACTTGTATGTTCAATTATTTCACTATTTTGCCTCATCACACCTAAAACATTCCATGCCCATTTTCAATGAGCATCCTTAGGGGAATTTCCTAAGACAGGCACTTCTGAAGGAAAGTTGCAAGTAATACCTCAATTTTTTTTTAAAAAAAAATTTATTTTCTTTAAAATCAAAGAGTTAAAAAATTTATTTTCTTTAAAATCAAAGAGTTAAAAAATTTATTTTCTTTAAAATCAAAGAGTTAAAAAAAAATCACATTCCAACATCCATCTTGGTGGACCCACTCACTGTATTTCATTCTAATAAGTGCACACCTAATCCTGGGCATCGACAGCAACTCAGGGCTTAAAGGAGGTCTGTTTAAAAAGAAAGTCCGTGTTATTGGCTTCTACACAGGTTTCCCCACTGGACTGGGAGTTCTTGAAGAGATAAAACTGAATTTTATTCATCCTTGTATCCCCAGAGCCTCCTGTCTCTGATATCTAGCAGTCAGTAAGTTATTGTGCATTGAATTCACTTTAAATGACTGAGTCTTCTCTACCAGCTCATGCTGCCTCGAGAGAGCCAGAAGCAGAGATCAGAGATCCTGGAGCATCTCCATGCTCCCCTCTTTCATAGCTCTTGATCATGATCTTCCAAAGGAATGCACCAAATCTGGGTCATTTACTGCTATATCAAGTGCACCTCTCCCTCCAGATGCTACTAAGAAAGGAGAAAAAACCCCAGAAACTATGAATGTTCTTCATTCAAAACACAGATATCTTCCATACTGGAGATGGTTCTGAGGGCTGACCACACTTGCTGGCTAACGGCTTTCTGGTACAACCGACAGTGAGTGATCCAGCTTACCCTTTGCTAGGAGTCCCTCTAAGTGATGGGACTCCACTGAGCATGTCAGAAACTCAGTGATGGGTCCTGTGAGGTGAGAAGTAGAAGCCTTGTATGGGGGGACAGTCCTTCCTTTGCTACTAAAGGGGACATCTGCTCCCTGTAGCTTCTCTATACTAAATCAAGTTTAAAAGGCAAACAGTATACAATGAAACCTTCCACCTTGTTGAAATATTTCATCTAAAAATGGAAACCAAAGTCAGAAAAAAAATCATCATAAACAATTGAGCCAACTGGGTGATATTAGCAATGAGTTTTTATAATAGCTGCTACATAATGCTGGTGGATTTAAAGGCAAGTCAGAAAATGTATGCGGCCAAGGCATTCCATTCTGAGGTCCCACTACAAATAGTTTGTACGATGGTTTGTTTCTATGCGTTATCGTGCTTCCAGAACTAAAAACTAACACGTATGCAGTTTACCATACTCAAGCCACAAACGGTCCCTTCCGCTGCAGGCATAAACTTGGTCTCACACCTGTGGCCCACTCGATGGCACCAAAGAGACTTGCAAATGTCCTGAAAGGAAAGAAGCAGCTGGTGAGGGTGTTGATAGAATAAAAATGAAAATATCCGAAGCTTTTGTACACAATATTGTATTTCGATGGGGAGGTAATAATAGTTCATTTCAGGACCATTGGGCTTGAAACTAAGAGACCCGGTTTGTAATAATCACCACCACCACCACCACCAGTGAATCAGGAGAGGCCAAGATTGGAATCGAGCACACTGGATTCAAATCCTTGCCCCAGAATTCCAGGCTCCACGCCCTATGGACGGACATGTTCTAGAAGTCTCTGACGTGCAGTTTTCTCTCCCGTGCAAACAGTGATAAAAGTAGCTCTTGCCTCTCCAGTTGGTTCTCAAAGATAAATGGTGTGAATGATCACCATCATCACCTTCCTCTTCTTTAGTAATTTTCAAGCATTTAGACAATTCTTACACCATGGAAGAGTTTAACTCTCACACTAGACTGTGGTAGGCAGAATGCTGCCCCCCACCCCAAAACGACCACATCCAAATCACTGACACCTGTAACTTTGTGCAGTTACACAGCAAAGGAGAATTAAAATTGCAGACGTAATTAAGGTTGCTCATCAGTTGATCTTGAGATGGGGGAACTATCTTAATTTTCCAGATGGGCCCAAGATAATCACGAGGGGCCTTAAATAGGGCAGAGGAAGGCAGGAGAGAACCCGAGAAAGGACAGTGTGAGGAGGGCTAAGGGGGATGTTGGGGGAAGGCGCCATGAGCCAAGGAACATAGGAGGCTTCTAGAAGCTGGAGGAGGCAAGAAAATGGCTTCTCTTCTGGAGCCTCCAGAAGGGACACGACCCTGCCAACACCTGATCTTAGCCCAGTGAGACTCATTCCAGATGTCTACCTCCAGAACTGTAAAAAAAATAAATCTGTATAGTAAGTCACCAAGTTCATGGAAAGTTAGAGCAGTCATAGGAAACTAGTACTGTTACTAACACCATTTAGTGTTGGACACTAAACTAATTCCCCATATAAACTAATTTAGATGATGGGACTGAGCAAGCTATTGACACTTTCAAAGCCGCCCAAGTCACACACAGCTGGTAAGTGACAAAGGCAGGACTCACACCGGCCTGATCCCATCCCAGCCAGAGTCCTTGACCACTGCTCTCTGGACCTGGATTTGCCATTAAAGGAAGTTGGAAAGCTCTCAACCTCTCTGGGCCTCAGTTACCCATCTACAAAGTGAGGGGACTGAACCAGATTCCTTCCAGCTCAAACAGCTGAAGTTGCCTCTCAGAATTATGTCATTAAGAGAATGTCAAAATCATGAAATGTCAAAATCATTCCATTTTGTTTGCCACATTCTATTTACTGGGATAGACGTGTGAATGCATACAATTTGGGGGAAAATATTAACAACAAGGGAGGAAACAAAATGACTTTTGTGGTCACTTGGTGTGGCCCTGAAAATTCCATTAACTGGACACCCAATTCCCCAAGCCTTCCGGTTAATGTGGATTTCACAGTGACACAATATGGCAAGAACATGCTCAGGAGTTATTTCACAAAAAAAGTTTTCCACAGAACCAAGGAGAGGAAATACAGGGAAACCAGAGAGATGTGCAGTGAGCCTGATCCAGTAAACCATAAAGTCCTTCCCCCCCACAAAAGAGAATGGAAGGATATTCAGGATGCTGCTGGGGACTACAACCCACCCATGGCCCCAGACATGTACCACACATACCGTCATTTGAAAATCACCATTTTCAAATCTCAAAACAGCTCCTAGGACACAATATTTCAGTGTTTCCCATAGACATGGACCTGCCACTGACATTAGTAGAAAGCATGAGGCAGCCTGCCAACAAGTGAATCAGCTTCATCATCTCTGTGTGCTCTCCTCCATGTATCACCCTGGGCCTGAGGGGAACAACTTAATGTGGAAAAAGACAGTTGACATCAAAATGGAGAAAGGAGAGGCAACCATTAAAACCTAGCCACAGTTAGAAAGGCTTTCAGAATTAAACTCCTGACAGCCAGCGAGCAGCCATAACCCACACCCCTCGCCTATGTGGCAGCCACCGAAAATGACCCTGGGGCAGACCCAAGCAAAGGAGACCCGGATTCCATAGCCAATGCCAAGCCACAGGGCGAAGGAGAAGGGGCAGCTGGAGAAGACCGGGAAAATGAGGCAAAACACAAAAACACAGGATTCCAGAGTGAAATCAGACAGGCTGTATGAACATGTTATTTCTTTTGTGGTGAAGTACATAAGTCAAACATAATTATAGCCAACTACATGCTTTGACGACCATGAGAGTCTTCTGAGAAAGCTCCCTTGCAAAGTAAACAGAAATGAGAGTTTGTACTTTTTTGCTTGCTCTTCCCTCTTTTTTTTTTTTCCAACATATTCGACTAACTTTTCCTTATCTATAATTCCCTAGACTGAAGTCATAATTTAAGGGAAAAAGAAATAACCACAGAGACTCCAAGGTCTCATGTTGCCTGCATGTGATTTTTAAGGAGCGTCTCGATACTAGGCATTACTCTGTCCTATCACTTGTTGATCATGTTGTCCTGTTGTGTTCCAAAGATTCTGAAGGACGCCCCTCCAAGCAAAACCCAATGTGCTAAAAATGTTAATGGTTTCTGCAAATTGAATTTTATAAAGCACCGAACACATCCAAAACAAAATTCCCCATCTGTTCCCCCAAACCTGTTCAGCCTCTTCCAGCTCATGTTATGACACCTCCGTACTTCCGGATGCTCAAGCCAAAAATCCTAGAGTCCTCCTTGACTCCTCTCTCTCTCTCTCTCTCCCTTCCTTGAGGAGGGATGAGAAGGGGACAGAGGCAAAATCCTCCACTTGATGAAAATGGGAGTGCTAAAGAAATGTTAGTTTTAGTTACCATGTCAATTCAGTAAATGATTCCTGGGTCTCTACCAACACGGCAGGTACACGCTATGCATTTGCCATCCACTGAGGCAAGAGGCACACCTGGTCAGTTATAATATGGTACCACAAGTTTATGATGGTCCACAGAGGGTGCAGATGGAGACTGGGTGAAAGGAATGTTTAAATCTCCTTGGGGAAAATAGGAGGTACCACTTGCACTGAATCTCCGACAACAGTAAAAGATGATTAGGTATTTGTCACATGCGTGACCATGCAGCATTCTAGGGTGGGAAGCATGTCTACAAAGGCATGTAGACATGAAAGAAGGGATGGTATGAGAAAATACAAGGACATCAACACAGTTGGAACATAAATCCATGGGGGAAGTTAGTAAGAGTTGAAACCTGATGTAGAAAATTTAGTAGATTGCAAAGTAGGTACAATTTACTGATTACATTTAGATTTAGACACTAGGAAGTTTCTCCTTATTCCCCATTCTTTCATCCCAATGTCAAGTTCTTTTTTTTTAAATAGTATTTAAAACTGAGATATAACTGACAGGTAACACTGTAGTAATTTTGGGTATACAACATAATGATTCAATATTTGTATATATTACAAAAGATCAGCACAATAAATCCAGTTAACATCTGTCTCCATACACTGTTACAATTTGTTTCTTGTGATGAGGACTATTAAGATCTCCCCCCCGCAACTTTCAAATATGCAATAGAGTACTAACTATAGTCACCATGCTGTACATTGCATGTCCTTGACTTATTTTCTAGAACTTTGTATCTTTTGACGTCCTTTACGCATTGCAATGTCAGATTCTTGAAAGAAGAAATACATGCCCATCCTACTATTTTTGACGTGCCTTTTCTTTTGAAGGAAGTGTTCTCTGAGGTGATGGGCACGAACGTATTTACTAGAATTCAAATGCCTTCCCCGTAATTCTTATTCTGCTTCAAGCCCTTTTGGTGCATCTGTAAATGAACATCTACGGAGCTTCTGCTATGTGACAGTAACTGCCGGCTGCCGAGGTAACAGAGTATGGGCTGCTTGCTGCTAACTTAGTAAAATAACGGGCTTCGGAAACACTGACCAGAGTCTTCCAGAGCTCAGGGCCTTGGGCAAGGAAGCCACGGGAAGAGAGGAGCCTGGGATGGCCATGCTGCTGGAGACAAGAGGGCAAGAGCAGGGAGGAAAGCCTGGGTGTTCGCTGAGGGGTGCCGCCATCCCAGGAGCTGCACCCTCACAATTACCAGGGAAGAACTGTCCATATCCTCACCTTACAGATAGATGAGGCCACAAAAGCCGAGGGAGGTTCAGCCATTTGCTCAGGGTTCCAGGATGTGGTGGATTAAGGTTTTGTTTTTTTTTTTGATTATTTATTTATTTATTTATATGAGAGAGAGAGAGAATGGGAGATAGCACAAGAGGGAAGAGGGTCAGAGGGAGAAGCAGACTCCCTGCTGAGCAGGGAGCCCGATGTGGGACTCGATCCCGGAACTCCAGGATCATGACCTGAGCTGAAGGCAGTCGCTTAACCAACTGAGCCACCCAGGCGCCCCTATGGTGGATTAAGGTTTTAAACCCAGGTCTACCTAACTCCAAAAGTCAGACGGGGGGGGGTGGGGGGGTGGGGGTGTGTGTGTGTGTGTGTGTGTGTGTGTGTGTGTAAAACTGAAGATGCCTAATTCAACAATTCCCAACCCTGAGCGTGCATCCAAATATCACCTGGAGCCCCTGTTCAAACATTGCCAAGTCCTACACCCAAATCTTCTTATTCTTTAGGGTGGGATGAGCCCTGATCATTCGCATTTATAACAAGTTCCAGGGATGCTGATGATCAATTGCATCGCTGGTTTCAAAGACACTTGAGCTTTTTTTTTTTTTTTTGCTCTTCTATTATGCAAAAACTGCCTTTCCAGGAGGCATAAAGTTCAAAAAACGTAGGCAGTGGAGGAGAATAGGTTTGTAAGGGAAAGCAATGACAGGACAGTGAAGACTCTGAAAACAAACACCATCCTTTCCCTGTGCTGCTGGAGACGGGTCTACACTGTCCAGACCAGCAGGGCAAATGGGAGGTTTGCTTGTTTAGGAAACCCCTCCCACGTAGGGCCAGGCAAGAACTATCTGTGATTCTCAGCGGTAATGCCATGGTTGGTTACAAACAGGTATCTTCCGCCCCCTAAGCTGTGGGGGGAAACATTCTGCATTAGGGATCTATCAACTTCCCTGTCTTACCTCATGGTCATGTCAAACCTCTTCCTTAAGCAAATCTCCGCCCTCCTCAGGGATTCCCATCCCTGTGCCTTCCTCATTCTAGCCAGTCTTCTAGTCTGCAATTCCCACTTCCCTTTGCTCCACTCCCCAAGGAAGACCATCAGACTGAGGTGCTGTCTCTCGAAAATATGGTATGGTTCCAGAAAAATATCTGTCACCGAAGAGTGGCTGTTGGAGCCCTACACACTGTCGGACACGGAACAGGCACCGCACACGTTTGATGAATGTCTGATCCTGAAGGCATCATAGTAATTTTTAAAACTTCCTTTATATTTCTAAAGAAAATCAAACTTGTTACCAATTGTGCCTTTGCCACAGAGTAAGCACTTAATAAATGTTTGATTAATGACTGCGTAAGCTAGTGAAACCTTTAGGAATGAAGGGAAGAGGAGACAGAGTTAGGCAAGCTTTGTCGGCAAAGCGAATGTCTACTGACTTCTGCCAAGCACATCAACAGGCAATTAGAAACAGCTGTACACTTATTAATGTATACATGATACACCAGCATTTGTCAAAGTAAGGTCCATGTACCATGGAGAATACACCAAAAAAATTGTGGATGGTGTGTGGGTAAACTTTTCTAATAGTCATACATTTAAAGAGCATTAGAAAAATACGTGATCCCATATCAAAACCTGTGATTTGGTGGTTATTAGGATTGGACTCATGTATTTTTAAGTGAGCTGCTTTATTAGAAAAGCAACACGTGAATAACAATACAGAGATACAGGGCGCCTGGGTGGCTCAGTCGGTTAAGCGTCTGCCTTCAGCTCAGGTCATGATCTCAGGGTTCTGGGATCGAGTCCCGCATTGGGCTCCCTGGTCAGTGGAGGGCCTGCTTCTCCTTCTCCCTCTCCCTCTGCCTCCCCGCTTGGGCGTGCTCTCTCTCTCAAATAAATAAATAATCTTAAAAAAACCAATATAGAGATACAGCACAAAGAATGAAGGTAATTATCAATGACTGAATGTTGATGTTCGTGACTGAGGCTTAGGAAACACTCCTATTAACTGGAGAAAAGGAAGCTTAACATCAATGTGATGGACAGGTTTAAAGGTTTTGAGGCTTTGGGCAAAGGGAATATACATTCTCTGAGCTCCACGTTAAAAAATGATAACACTCCTTTCAAAAGCTCTTTCTGAAGACTGAGGAGAAGTAAAATAAGTCTCTAAGAAGATGCCTTCTAAAAAAAAAGTCTGGCGCTTAACAGACTGAGCCACCCAGATGCCCCCCGGGGTGCCTAGGTGGCTCAGTCGTTGGGCGTCTGCCTTCAGCTCAGGTCTTGATCCCAGAGTCCCGGGATCGAGCCCCACATTGGGCTCCCTGCTCCTCGGAGAGCTTGTTTCTCCCTCCCCCACACCCCCTGCTTGTGTTCCCTTTCTTGCTGTGTCTCTCTCTGGCAAATAAATAAATAAATAAAATCTTAAAAAAAAAAAAAAAAAAGATGTCTTCTGTGGAACAGAGGCTCACATGGCAAGTGCTGGGGGCAGTGGGAGGCACAGTGTTACCCGCCATGGGGCTGCAGCAGAAGGAGGAACAACAAGAGGAGGGGCAGAAACGAGGAAGAACAGGAAGACAACAGGGAAAAGGAGCTATAAAACTCGGTCATTCCCCAGTTTCCAGATACCTAGGAATTCCACCTTTCTCTCTCTGGAAAGTAGGGAAGAACAACGTAAAACCAATTCCACTTTGTATTGATGTTGAGATGGTCAGTGATGGAGTGTTGGACGAACTGGTCCAATGTTTCTCCCATTTCTACATCCTGGACCTTTGCTTTTCCCATCAGCGTTTCTCATAATACTGAAGGGAAGACTGGGCACTCAAAAAAGTTGGCTGCCAACAGTTTTCATATTCCATAAAGGCATAGGTATAGATTTTGAGGTGGTGATGCTTTTTCAACGTATCACGTGGAAAGGGAATATGAACACAACAATAATAATCAGAATGATGAGAAGTAGGTAAATGTGACTTCACCCAGATTTACTACTTGTGATGAAATCCTCATCTACCCAGGAGGGATTTTCTCCCACAGATGCAGTTGGATGGTATTTAAACCAGGCATGGTCTATGGGGGATAAGCCCGGATAATTCACTGACAGTAAAATCGCCACTTAATTATCATGCCAAACAACTGACATTTTAGAGATAACCCAGACTCTAACCCTTGGCCTTCGCAAACCAAATGTTTAGATTTCTGTTAGGGACACAGACACATTGCAGAATCTTAATGCAAGTTTGAGATCACAAGCAAACATACCTTCACAAAACCGAGGCTGCATAACTTGGCTTTTGCTCCAAACTGCCACTTGCACTGTGTGTCAGCATCATAAATCTGTCCTGGTAGTTTGTCCGGATATTTATACTGCCCCGTTTGCTTGGGCTCATCCACCAGACAGCCAGCCTGAGGTGTGCTGCCACGAAAACACAGCCTTGTTAATTCCTATGTTTATCTGTGATCTTTCCACGTAAAACAACACGCCTCTGAATGCACTCACATGAAGAAAAGCATAGCATGGCGGAAGATATAGGTAATACTGAACATTAAAATGGGTATTTGTTTTTTCCAGAGAGTGAGTCCTGTCCTGTCTAAGAAGATGGAATTTACACAGCTATGGAACGTTTCACCTGGCGCTGGAAGTCATAGCTCTCCAAGTGGTTTGGTTTGGCCAGCTAGATGGGAAAGGTCAGTATATTTGAAAACTCTCCCCAACAATCGTATTCAACAATATTCAACAGATTTTTATTGGGGTGCCTACTGTGTGCTGAGCACCAGGCTAAGTGCTAAAGGTACAAAATAAACTAGACAGAGCTGGTACCTGTCTTCATGGAGTTGAAAGTCAGGCTGCACCTTTTATAAATAATGGGGCAGTGGTCAAAGATGTACTTTACCTTAAATAATCTTTACAAGCAAAAAATAAATTAGGTTTTTGAAAGTCTTAGGAGAAAGGACGCATTGGGGCAATAAATAGAATAATTCCCCAAAGTGTGCTCAACTGGGATGTGTTAAGAAAAAAAAAATCAGTCTGGATGGTGGATATTGTTAAATAGCACCTTCTCTCCATTTAAATTAAATAGCTAAACTATGAGATCAATGAGAGGCAAAAGAGCATGGTGGTTAAGTATGATTTTGGAGGCAGACAGATGGGAATCCGAATCAACCATGAGACCAAGAGCAACTCTAAAATACCTCATTACTGACAATGACTTACATTAAGAGTTTAACAGATGCAACAAGAAAATGCAATATGCTCAACCCAACATAATAAGCATTCAAAGTCAACTGTTGTTATCATCATCCCAAAACATTTAACTGTATCATATTAATGACAGAAATTCAATCTGTATTAAGTTGACCCTGATTTATAATATTTATTGATTCTATTCTCACATGAGATAGAAAAGATAATTTCAAAGCCCCAAATAATAAAATTATAATAAGACAATCTTCTATTTGATAAAACTTATCATTAGCAAAAGGTTTGTCAATTTCTTACTGTTCTTTGGGGTATTATTTGGTTAAACATCTTATATTTAATCAGCTTTGCCTGTGTGTATTACTAATTCTATAAACATTTGAAAATTGTAGGCAATAGTACAGTTTAAGAAAAAAGTACCAATATTATCAATTCCCAAAGACATTTTGTTAGTTTCCCTAACATTTGGTCAAAGGGAAATGGGATTGGAACTTGAGTGTTCTTATGAGTCAACATAGCATAAGATATATCATAACAACTAGAGTGCTATTATAATTACAATGGTCAAATATATATTGTTGCTAAATAAAATTAGAGGACACTTCAAAGGGTTCCAACTTTGGGTTCATCATTTAATATGAATCACATAGTGCTTCCTTCCTAACTCCCATTTTACTAATGACATGTAGTTTTGAGTTATCAAACGGATTTTATATAGCTGTCATCCCCTTTGGATGTCTTCTGGCCATAAAACGATCTCATGGCTATTTTAAACAAAATAGGTAAGCAAGACAATATTCCATTCATTATAAAACATGCACACCATTTTAGCATTTTTAATACTCTTATGACCAAATTTATTGATCAGATTAAAATACTTAATCACAGTAAAAAGTATATCTAGCAACCTCTGGAGGTCATAAAGGGGAGAGAGTTATAAGCACAGATCTTGGAGTCATACCCGACCTAAGTGTGAGTCTTATGTCTACACGTTACCAGCTGTAGTACAGTAAGCAATACAATTAACCTCCCTAAGACTCAGTTTCCTCAACCAGAAACTAAGGATCCTAATAGGATTGCCATGAGGACTGAATGAGGCAACATTCGCAGAGCATTTAGCATGGGTATTAGACCGTCAATGTATTTTTTCAGTAGCAGTAATGATGACAATATCATTACCATTACCATCATCACCAGCACCACCACCACCACCATCATCACCAGCACCATCATCATCATTGCCAGCACCATCCTCATCATCACTACCACCACCACCATCATCACCACCACCATCTTCATCATCATCATCACCAGCACCATCCTCACCATCCTCACAAGCACCATCATCATCATCATCACCACCACCACCACCACCAACACCAGCACCATCCTCATCATCCTCACCACCAGCACCATCATCATCATCATCACCACCACCATCATCACCAGCACCATCCTCACCATCCTCACCACCAGCACCATCATCATCACCACCACCACCATCATCACCAGCACCATCCTCACCACCAGCACCATCATCATCATCATCACCAGCATCAGCACCATCCCCATCATCACTATCACTATCACCATTATTGAGCCATTATTTATTTTAAAAAGCTGTTGAGCACTGTTTGAGGTCACCACCCCGGGAATACCCATTTTATTTTGTCTTACCTAAGGAATTTCTTGAGATACTGCCGGCTACACGAAGACCAGGAAAACACCCCATTGTTTCCTGTCAGTGTGGGAGACATGATATTGCCTTCAGCCTTCCTGCAGGGATTGCCTTCCCCATCGTGAATCATGCCGAAGCTGAAATAGAAGAAAACAGAAAGCTTTCTGTGAAGCCATTTTCCAAATGATAATCAAAGGAAGAAGATAAACTGAAAATCAATGAACCCAAGTGAGAGACAGAGTTATCACAATTGTAAGAAAAAACAAAGACAAAAATGAGTTACTCTATACAATCGACCTTTGAACACCATACGGGTTAAGGCCACTGACCCTCCCCACCTGCAGTTGAAAATTCAAGTATAATTTTTATCTCTCCCAAAGCTTAACTACTAATAGCCTACTGTTGACTGGAAGCCTTACCAATAACTTAAAGGTAATTAATACATGTGTTGCATGTTACATGTATTATGTACTATTATATTCTTACAATCAAGTAAGCTAGAGAAAAAATATTAAGAAAATCATAAGGAAAATACATTTTTTTAATTTTTTAAAAAAAATTTATTGTTATGTTAATCACTATACATCATTAGTTTTTGAGGTAGTGTTCCATGATTCGTTGTTTGTGTATAACACCCAGTGCTCCACGCAGAATGTGCCCTCTTTAATACCCATCACCAGGCTAACCCATCCTCCCACCCCCCTCCCCTCTAGAACCCTCAGTTTGTTTTTCAGAGTCCCTCGTCTCTCATGGTTCGTCTCCCCCTCCGATGTCTCCCCCTTCATTCTTCCCCTCCTATCTTCTTCTTTTTTTTTTTTTAACATATATTGTATTATTTGTTTCAGAGGTACAGATCTGTGATTTTTTAAAAAGATTTTATTTATTTATTTGACAGAGAGAGAGAGCGCACAAGTAGGGGGAGCAACAGAGAGAGAAGAAGAAGCAGGCTCCTAACCGAGGAAGGGAGCCCGATGCGGGGCTCAATCCCAGGACCCCGGGATCATGACCTGAGCCAACTCAGGCTCAGGAGTCCCAGGAAAATACATTTAAAGTAGTATTTACCAAAAAAAAAAATCTACATCTAAGTGGACCTGCACGCACATAGTTCAAACCAATGTTGTTTAAGAGTCAACTGTAGGGGAGCCTAGGTGGCTCACTCAGTTGAGTGTCCAGCTCTTGGTTTCAGCTCAGGTCATGATCTCAGGGTCTTAAGATCAAGCCCCATGTGGGGCTCTGCGCTCAGTGTGGAGTCTGCTTGAGATTCTCTCTCTCTCTCTCCTCTGCCCCTTCACCTTGTTTGCACACTCCTCTCTAAAATATCTTTTTTTTTTTTTTAAAGTTTTATTTGGTCTTTTTTTTTTTTTTAAGATTTTATTTATTTATTTGAGAGAGAGAGAATGAGAGAGAGCACGAGAGGGAAGAGGGTCAGAGGGAGAAGCAGACTCCCCGCTGAGCAGGGAGCCCGATGCGGGACTCGATCCCGGGACTCCAGGATCATGACCTGAGCCGAAGGCAGTCGCTTAACCAACTGAGCCACCCAGGCACCCTAAAAAATTTTTTTTTTTTAAGAACAAAAGAGTCAACTGTAGTGTTGTAAAATTAATATAGAAAATTCTAAAAAATGCTAAGGGCTTTGTTCTATTATGTCTTGGCCACAAAATCAAAGAATGGTATGTCTGCTGTATATTTTAAGGACAAGAAACTTTTGGTCAATACAGCTAAGCTAAATTAAAATGATGGGATACTCAAATTCTTTTATTTCAAGTACCACATTTTTTTTTCTTCCCACCAGTTGTGAAACTGTGATAAGGAAGTTCACGGTCAGTAGGTGATAGGTTAAAAAAAAAACAAAAACACATTTAGACATATGTTTGACATTCATATTTCTTTCCTGCTCTGTATAAAGGGGCCTTGTGCCTAACAGGCATTTTTGTACCAGTGTTCACAATAAAATTGGTTCATTCACACCTTGCTAAGAAAGTGGCTGTGCACATACACAAGATTCAAATTTCCTGAAGATAATCTGCTCATAAGAGACACTAGCACCAAAATATTCAAATATAAATTATAGTTGTGGAGATGATTTTGCTTTTAAGTCAGAAATCAATCAGATGCTTTGAAAATGAGCATTCAACATAAATGCTGAATACGAGACACACACGCCAACACTCTTAAACCCATCTATCCAAAGAGCTTTCGCTTTGAAACAGTCATTTTGTTAAGCAGCGTGCTGATTCCAATGTGGATGCTACTGTTCAAGGAATTTTTGAAAAGCCTCTACAGAACTGCATTGGCACCAGATTTCATGCCTTATAAATTCGGTTCATTACTCTCAGGTTTCTCATTCCTCATTTCGAACTCTATTTTCACAAGAGAAAGATTTACTAACACCAGGGAAGAGAATACTAAGTACACGCAATGACACCAACTATAAGAATATCCAGCGTGTGCAGCAAAAGCCTTTGAACAATTAACATGCCATTACATTCTGGGAATTTACACGTCTATCCAATTACTTCCTCGGTATAATGAACTAAAACGATCTTCACTGCAGCAGAACATGGAAGACATTCCTGAAAGACCAGGGGGTCCGTTAGATGACTTGCAGTCCATCTATACCGACAATGGATTTCTGTGCAGCTATAAAACATTGTTGTTTAAAAAAAGCAACATCCACGATGACTTGCCTTTATTGAGGGAGCTCTCCTTATTGTCAGGTACGATTCTGAGCTTTACCCAAGATTTAGCCTATCTATTCTGACTAGACCAACAATTATCATTAGGGGGATGCCAATGAATCACCCAACTGGTTTTCATAGAAAGTGGTGAATCCAGGGCTCACTCACTTGTGCCCTGACTCATGAGCGATGGTGAAGGCCAGGCCAAGCCCCGTGTCCTCATTGATGGTACAACTTCGGTACTTACTGCACATTCCACTGATGGGGGCAAACCCTATTGAGAGAGCAATTTCAAGTGTTAGTCCAAAGGGCACACATACAGATACCTGACCATTTCTTTTTTTTTTTTTTTAAAGATTTTATTTATTTATTTGAGAGAGCAAGAATGGGAGATAGAGAGCACGAGAGGGAAGAGGGTCAGAGGGAGAAGCAGACTCCCTGCTCAGCAGGGAGCCCGATGTGGGACTCGATCCCGGGACTCCAGGATCATGACCTGAGCCGAAGGCAGTCGCTTAACCAACTGAGCCACCCAGGCACCCTACCTGACCATTTCTTATGGCTTCAAAATGTTCTGCACAGTTTTAGTTTCATTGGTTAACAATATTAATTTCAGTTTAATTGATTCATGTACTTAATTTTTTTGCAGGGAAGCACTAAAGGTATAGGATTATCTGTCCTGCCCAGATAAATGCAGAATTTAACATTTTCTTGCCTTTTAAAAGATATTGCCATCACCAGATCCTCCTCCCAACCCTGTAAAGTCACTATGAGTGTTATATTTTCCATTTTACATACAGAACAGGAAGCTGCAGGACATTTATATGCCTTATCTCAATTAAACCAATGCAAAATGTCCACTTAACAGCGCTATTAGCATTAAAGCTCAAGGTATATTTTCTAAGAGAACATACATCCTGGTCTTTTTCTGAAGCAGACAACATGAAAAGGTCTGAACAATGTGAAGAGATTAAATGCATTTTTTTCCTATTCACTAGAATGTGACAAATGTTTCTGTTTTCAAAAACTACTTCCTTCTAAGAGCAGCTATAAAATCTTGCCAGCCAGTGTTTGATTCTATCTTGAACCACATTATAGCGTTAAATGTCTTTCTTCCCAGTTTGGGGTCCTCCTATGCAGAACAAGAGTATGTACCCAGTTAGTATTAAATACACGCTTGCGGATGGACTGCATCCACTTTGCTGCTATGTGGTCCGTGAGATAATCTGAGAAACTTAATGTGTAGGCATATATCATCACTGGCACCACCACCACCATCAACACTGAGCTAGAGGAGCATTAATTCATCAAAAAAAATTGTTGATTTCTTACTGTATGCAATGGAATATACTAGAAAATATAGTACAGATGTGGAAGATTTAGTCCTTACTCATTGTCTCGTGCAAATGTAGAACAGCTGAGTCCTTTAAAGGTCAAGTAACTTTCTAAAGGATGCACTTCTATGCTACCCAAGGGCACAGTGATGCACCATGGAGATCAGTCAAATTTTCTTCAGCTGCCCCAGTTGTGCTTATGGAATAAATCACAACTCGTCTAGTTAAACAATTCACCTTAATGATCATCAATAGAGTTAATAAAGAAAAATACAGAATGAATAAAGGAAATGAACTCACCATTCCACCCTGACTTGAGTTAAATAGAACAATATTCACCACAGGGTACAGTGAAGATAACTACTCCACAATTTAAATATTAGGTCTTCTTATTAAGGATCATTAGGACCACCACCCAGTAGACAGTTTCCATACTGTGTTTTCACAGGTGTGAGTGAAGCACCCATTCATACCTTACCTAGAGTGTCACATGGTTCATTCTTCCAGGAACAAATGTCAAATCCCGTGAGTAGGATGGCGTGGTCATGCCTCTTGCCATTCTTTCCAATGAGGGCAGACTGCCACTGACAAAAACTATTCAGAGACTGGTCTGCATGATGGTTGATCAATAATCCTCCCTATGGGAAACCCACACAAATCAGAGTGTGAATCTGTCAGAGGTGAGAACGTTGAATTATTCCATTTGTACAAGCAAACACAGAAACATGTTTCTAGGGTGAAAGGTCAGTAGAGGAAAACACTTGAGCTAAGGTTGGAGACAACTGATAAAAAAAAAAAAAAAAAACCCTAAAACTATTTCAGGTAAATTCTCACAATATTTAAAGCAACTACAGAGTTTTAGTAGTATACTTTATGACTAGTTCTATTTCTAAAAAAACAAAAATAATAACCTGACATCAGTTAGGAATATCTGTGCTCATCTCATGCTGGTACCACCTTTATAAAACTGTTAAAGCTTTTAGAACCTAATTATAAGTTAATAGTGATAAAGTTCAATGCCTTCTTCAATACAGCATGAGGAAGGTAGTGACCACAACTTATTTACCCCTATGTCAAAATTTCCAGCAAAGGGTTTGCCATGTCACAGATTAAAATCAATCCATCCATCAAGCAATAAAAAGAAAGCTCACTGAACGGATGTAGAAACAAATAATTATAAGACTCTGAGGGGGTAAGATAGGACCTAGCTTTAAGATAATTATTTACCAAATCTTTGCTTAAAACTATTGACTTGGGTCAAGTTGAGGGTTTTTAGAGTAGGTCTTTAATTATCCATGAATTAGGATGCCTCTGGCTTCAACATCCTTGGGCAAAGTATAAGTGGTAGGTTAAAGACAAAAGTGTCTCCCAATGACACACACCCTCCTTCCTACCTTCCTAAAATTCCAAGAACAATTTGACAGGTTAACCTCTGTAGCTGCACACACCTGGACGATGAGATTAATTTTTGTCTTGTCTCTGACTCCTTGCTTTGTACATTAATTACTGGGGTAATGGATGAAGAGGAGAAGCCACAGGGGACTTAAAAAACTTGGTAATCTCCACCTCAGAAAAATACAGTTTCAAACAGCATCAAAACACTACCAAGCAGTGAGTGCCATGCAATCAACACTTTATTATATGTTCTGGTTTTATGATTTACTCCATGCCTGTGTCCTGCACCTCAAGGTAATCAATTCAAGGGCAGTTAAATATTCCTTATTTTATTCCTGGTAGTACCTAAGATGGTGTTGGGGAGACAGCAGGTTTACTACAAGAATTCTCTGATGACTTATTTTCAGTATGTTTTCAAAATATCTTTTTAAATCTACCTGCAATTACCCAGCATATCCAACGTGCAAAATCCAACTGACCCTTAAATCTACTATCAAATGCCCCTTCCCTGTAAAGCCTACATAATATTTGTATTTTTATATATAATGTAATATTTATACTATATATGCATATTTAATATCAATGCCATTGTATAGATATATGTATTTTATATATATATAATTATTTTGTGATGTTTTAGTTACTTGAATATATAACCCTGTTAGGTTGTACTTTCTTTGAGGATAGGGTCAGCCTATTTTCAAGCTGGAATTTCGAATGACTAGTTCATGGATCGGTACACAGTAGGTATTCAATAAGTAGATCCTGAATGGCAAAATGTATTTTTTTTTAAGGATTTTATTTATTTATTTGACAGAGAGAGACACAGCGAGAGAGGGAACACAAGCAGGAGGAGTGCGAGAGGGAGAAGGAGGCTCCCCACAGAGCAGGGAGCCCGATGCGGGGCTCGATCCCAGGACCCTGGGATCATGACCTGAGCTGAAGGCAGACGCTTAACCCAAGCGCCCCCCGAATGGCAGAATGTATTAAGAAATAAGTGAAGTCTGGCACTCACAGGTTCTTGTTCCAGAAGAATGAGGCTCACCACAACAATGTTGATGTCACTTCCAATGGTCCCATCTTTAAATAGGCTAGAAACCTGTTGGAACAATTGAAATCAAATGAAAATAAACAAAACCTAAAAGTTTCCAAAACTCTGTGTATTAATCAGACAGATTTATAAGTATACAGGCTTCAATTTTACAAAATTGAATATACGTATATGTACGTATGAAGCAATTTCCTCAAAACTCAACTTTTTTCCAGTAAAATTATGTGACTATAGCTGCTATTCAATCCATACAAGGATATTCTGTGATTTTTGGCTGTTCTGGAGATCCAGAGTATCGGAGTCCTAACAAACTCCCTTACCATGTTCATGACCGTGAGAATGTACGTGGTAACATTTGCCTTGCCGTGCTTTTCCACCATTTTCTTGTCTGCTACCACAAGGGTTTCCACATTTAGGCCCTTCTGTGATTTTCCAGCTGATCTTCTGGGTCGCCCTGCACTCCCATACTCATCAAACCTGAGATAGGTATCCTCCGTGGGAGGCTTAGGGGCATCTACAATGAACATAAGAGCATTTGGAGGGGATTATCAGTGGAGAACATCTGAGTGAGATAGAAAGAAATCTAAACAGGGCAGGGAGAGAGTCTGTAACCAACACTTGACAGATCTACTGATAAATGATGACTTCAGTGCTTGTCCTGGGGCTTTGCTCCTAGTTTGTGGTAGAGAAAGATTCATTCAAAGAGGTTGGTAGATGGATAGACTCAATAACTCAAAAATACCCTAACAAGTGGAACACACACACACACACACACACACACACACACACTACAAATCTAGTTAGTACAGCAGGTCAACAAAAATTATTTTTGTCTGAATAGTCTTTAAAAACAGAAAATGCTCATTTTATTTTATTCTAAACACTGCAAAGACATTCTTTGCATCTGAATTCATAACACTTCATATATTATTTTCTAAATAAAAATTAGAAATATATGTCCTACAAAACACTGTCCATGTCTAACATCCTTGTTTCATCAACACAAACTTGAATATCACACAAAATAAGTGCTCAATAAGGATGCTTTGACCCAATATTGAGTTAGTTTTTGGGGAAATAGCATAAGTCAGGGGTGGTATTTAAAATGATATTAAATATTTCACAAGAGGTAAGGTGCAGGCACTACCTTAACAGAGTGGATATTGGCCATGGCCTTTGAGAAAGACACCTGGCAGTGGCAGGATGTTGGGCCAGGCATGATCCCTTCAGTTAATGGGGAGGGACAAGTCCAAGGATTGCTGGGAGAGAACAGGGCATTTGGAAATGTAATACTAAGAGTTATCTCAATACTTCAACAACTAGTACAGACATAACAGTAAAGTCATTATAACTCTCCACAGAGTGAAATTAAAAGATCAAATTATGTAGAGTTAGATATAAAACCTCAAGTTGGCCGCTTTGATAAGTGACCCTGAGTCTCAGTTTATCAGTGAAAAGAGCATAATACCCATAATACCAATCATAAGGCTGCTCTAAAGATCAGCTTTAATATATCTATCAAATACATATCATTGTCACTATGGACAGCATCACTATTATTAATATCACTATTATCATAAATCTGTGCTAAATTGATAGTCCTTAAAGAGGATATTTCTGTTAACACCCCAAGCCCCAAAGACCAATTAAAATGGTAGAAACATGATATTTCATTATTGCTCCCAATCAACAGCTCAGGGATACCAGTACCCCTTCTTCTTGGGTAGAACCACCATCTGGCTGCTCTGTCCAACTCGGCACTCACCTGCCATTCGTGGCTACTGAGCCTTTGGAATGTGTCTGGTGCCACTGGAGAAACCGAAGTTTTAATTTTAATTTTAATTAATTTCCATTTAAATTAAGAAAGCAAACCTTGATGCGGTGATTGGAAAACAAGTAAGTTTGGAACAGCATGCATATGTAAATCTACTTTTCTAACCTTAAATTTTATGAAATCCAAATACAGATTAAGTATTTCTGATGAGAATTTGTTGTCTACATTGGAATTGTGCTCTAAGTGTCAAACAATGACTAGATTGCCAAAACTTAATATAAAATACCCGATTTATAAGTTGGTATACTGATTGCATATTGAGATGATATTTTATAATTTATTGGGTTAAATAAAATATATTATGAAAATTAATTTGCCTATCTTTAATTTTTTTTTTAAATGTGGCCACTGGAACATTTAAAACTACTTGTGGGGCTGACATTGCATTTCTATTAGATGCCACTGGTCTACAAAGGGCAAAAGGTTGTGCCTGGGTCACAAACCGTGTGCCTGGGTCACAAACCTGTATCTCACCGCCACCTCCACTATAGGTGCCAATATTCTCATTTCCTGTGAAGTTATCCTTCAAGAGCTCAAAAGGAACAAACATTCCAACCACCCCTGAGGATTCATCTCTGATTTCCTTCATTATTGCAAGACTGGGTTCCTTTCTCAGGAGCACAGAAACCATGATAATATAGGGACCCATGACTAAAATAAACAAAAGCATATCAAAATCTTTCCTAGTTTAACCTAGAAGAATTGAGAACTGATCACCGACTTTTTGCCTGACAGGGATGAATATTGGTCCATCTCCAAGACTAATTTCAGGGGGTTCTTAGGGTAGCCCCATTTTAACCTGCAGAGTCAGCACACCTGACTGCACTCAAGAAAGCCTGTCGAGGGCCCACATAAGAACAGAGTAAGAAAAAGTTTCCTTACATACATTTCTTGCGTCGTCCACAAAAATGCTGCTTTTGCAACCTTGGGTGGTGATGCTCTCTTTCTTGACTCCGAGACGCATGGGGAGTGTGTGTTGGGGAGTGACCGGGATAATGCCTGCTGGAGCCCGGGTAGTCATGGCAATGCTGGACCTTCTCCTCAGCCGTCCTTTTGTACAGTACGTGAGGATGGTGTCCGGCAGGTGCGCTGTAGTTATGTTCCTGGGCCAGCAGCTGAGGTAATGGTGAAATGAGGAATTCGTTTTTTCGTGTCCTTATTAGACCTGACTAAAGAGCCAAACACACAGAAAACATTAATGGTTCCAGGCAATCCCTTCTTACGTGGTGATTTTCAACAACTGTTTAATGGCTACTTCCCGTGTGCTACTTCCTTAGCACCGTGCTAAGTAATTGACATGCATTATCTATTTCATATGTACCATAAACAGTTACAATACTGTATGTTTCATATGTACCATAGACAGTACAATACTGTAAAATACCTCCATTTTACAGAAGACAAAACTGAGGCTAAGATAGTAAGTAGGAAAGCTAGCACTGGCATTGTAGGGAAGGAAAAAATAATTTTCCCTTTACCCTTCTAGGTTCTTGACTCAGACCCCCCATTGTAATAAAAGATTAACAGGAGAAAAACAGAGGCTTAATAACATGTATACCTTCCTTATACATGGGAGTCACCCAGGAAAACTGAGAAACTCCCCAAAAGGGGCCAAGACACCACCTTATAAATACTGTCTCCTGGGAAAGATAGAAGATGTTGAGGTGGTGATGGGGGCGGAGGACGGGCAGTCATGCAAGGTTACCAGGAAAAGCACAGAAAAAAGAGCTATGGTTGATATGCAGATTTAAGTCCTGGCTTTCTGCACCAACAAGTTGCTAGAGATTTGGTCACCCTCCTGTTCCTGGCACAGAGAGGGAGGCACCCCACAAATGGAGATTTCCCTTGTGAAGGTAAAATGGTAACTTCTACTCGGTTTTCAGAGCTTTTCTTATGTCTGCTGTTTCTTAAAAACAATCAGCTGAAAATAATCCTTATGCCAAAGAGGCAGTGTTTGGGGCACCCAGAGCTCTCTACCCTCAGAAGCAGTGCCCTTAGCTACAGTTCCAGACTCTTCACTACTAATCTTGATGCATAAGGACTCTTGTGCCTGAGGGCAGAGCCACGTGACATCCTGGAGCCTCTGCATCTATGACGAGGGGGACACAGCGGCAAACACAGGGCGGAGGGGGCTGCTTCATAGCAGCCTGGCCCCCAAGGGACCCATAGCATGGGCAGGAAAAACTATGACATTCCATCCTGGTTTCACAAGTGCTAAATAACAGGACTAGCATAGGTGGCGGAGTGGGGAGAGTGGTCACGGTCATCTCCATGTGTTATCGACAGCATCTGCTAAATGGTGAGGAAAGAGTGAACCGGGACTTCTACCCCCTCCACTTTGACCTCAGTCTGTACACTCTAATTGATTCCATTGTTCTTTCTGGCTTATCTCTTAACTCAGGCAAAAGCCCCAGGGAGCAACACATCCATGGGTGAAACTGAAACTACCTCCTCAAGCAAGGGTGACTCCCCTGAGCCAGCGAGACCCCATGTGACTGACCCCAAGACAATGACAGACCTGACCTTCACTGCCCACCTGCACATACCCACTAACCTTTGCTGCACATTTTCCTGACGTAAACCTGGAAGTATTTTCAGCACTTTGGAGACAGCCTTTGAGATGTGAGTCCACTGTCTTCCTGGTGTTGGCCTCACTGAAATAAATCCCTTTCTTGTTTCCCCGGCCCTCGTCCCCTTTGGATTCTGTCAGTGGCAAGTGGCCAGACCTGGTCTGTTTCGGAACCGCCAGAGCCAGGCGCTCTTGAACCCTTGTGCCCAGCTATAACAGGCGACTCGGCAAGCCCATCCAATCACAATTTCGCTTTCCACGTTTACGGCACAAAGTGTGTATCTTTGTACCTGATATTTCAGCTGCAACACACCCCTGCCTTCCCTTCCACACCTCCGCCCTTTCTCTTCTTGCGTTTGGTTCAGAAGGTCCTGGACGTCCAGGCCCTGAGATAGCAAGTATGGTCTGCTGGCCCTGCAGCTTCAGCCCATCCAGGAGCTTGTTAGAGATGCAGACGCAGGTCTCACCCCAAATCCGCAGCATCAGAGTCTGCATTTTATTTAGATCCCCATGTGATGTGTGTGTCTATGAAAATCTGAGTAGCACTGATAGAGGCCGGCCACTCTTAACCTTTGCTGAACATCAGAAACCCGTGGGGATCCGAAACGCACACACAGACTCCCTCACTCCCAGGAAGAATCCCGCACCATCAAAAACCAGATCTCCGTCCTTGTGACTCATGCATCAGACCTTCAGTTCTGAACTGCTCTGGTGACTATTGCCACGCACCAAGGGCTTCGTGGGCCAGTCTTCTAGGGCTTCCCTTCTTCATGAGCAAAATGGGGACACTCCTCCCCTCCCTGACTACCTTACAAAGGGAGACAGAATAACCACTGAAGAAACCCTTTATACACTCTCAACTACAGCAACCTAGGTGGCTAAGGAGGACGGCTGATTAAATGAACAGTCACTGAATGCCAGGGAAGTGCGAGGCACACATCTATGCAGGAGATACACAAACAGAGCAGGTGCTCTGCTGGGGAGCCAGACACCTAAAAATTCAAGGATGCTACCAAATGCTAAGGGGGTGTCGGGGCGAGCGCAGATTACTATGGGAACACAGAGGCGCCGGCACTTAACCCCGCCTGTGGGCTGGAGGGGTTGCTGCATACGGGCTCTGTGCCCAGGCCTAATTTGGGCCCGCTGTTAGGATTCAGCTTCTCGTTCTTAAAAGAAGTCCCAGAACATGTGGTTTAGTCCTGATTTTCCTCCCCCTTCAGGAGGGTGCTGCCTTCGGAAAGACTGTCTTATTGACTTGAAGCACTGACCTATTATCTAGAACTAGGACACAGACAGATGTTTTCCTTGGCTCGGCAAACTCCCACTGAGCACCTAATGAGCAGCCCTGTGCCAGGGGTTGGCATACAGAACAGAGGCACGCAGCAAGTCAAAAGAACTGTTCACATTCATGTTCTCAGGGGAGATTCCGGAAGAAGAGAAATCGATTGGCAAGATAAAAATTCAGACAAGTAAAATCCCACAATCTAGAAATCCTGTCCATCATCTCTTCAGGCTGGCTCTCAGAGCAACCCGCCCTTCCCCACCCAGCCCAGGGCCATGCTGGTAGAGGTTTTCATCCCTCATTTGGACACTTTCTGTTTAGTCTCCCAAAGGCTCCTCTCATATGGTCTCCTCACATTGGCCAGAGTCCTTGTCCTTGGTAATCAACTCTTCCCATGCACTCCAGTATTGATCTCGAATCCAAACGCCTTTTCCTGGCCCACAGGCCCCCGCATAACCTGCTCTGTGTGGAGCTGGGCAGTTTATCTGTCCCCTCTCCCTTCCTCTTCACCATTCTTACAGGGCATTTCACTTCTTGAATCTGCTATGTTCTCTTACTTGCAGGGGAGCAGAATTTGTCACCCCAAAGTATGCCTCTTTGGCACAGGGATTATCTTGAGCTGGTTATTTTTAAGAATCAGCCCACACAGGGGTGCCTGGGTGGCTCAGTCCATTGAGCTGCTGCCTTCGGCTTAAGTCATGATCTCAGGGTCCTGGGATCCAGCCCTGTCTCACATCGCGCTCCCTGCTCAGCAGAGAGCCTTGCTTCTCCCTCTCCCTCTGCCTGCCGCTCCCCCTGCTTGTGCTCACTCTCTGTCAAATAAAATAAAATAAAATAAAATCTTAAACAAAAAAAAAAGGAAAGAATCAGCCCACACAGGAGAAGCTCTGAAAACCTAGAGAAGTTACCCTTCTCTAAGAGACGTTTATGTTTATAAAGGAAATCTCCATATATAAGAGTATCTTCCTCTGTGTACCAGGAATAGGAAGATGACCAACGGTCTGGAAACTCTTCTCAATGGAGAAGGTGTGGACTTAAATCTGCCTAACCACCATACCCTTGCTAACTGCACTTGGCCTGATAAGGTCCCATAACTTGCTTCTTCAACATCTTCTTCTGTCTTTAGCTGGAGATGGTATTTAGGGTGGTGTCTTGGGCCTTTTGGGGGAGATACCTAAGTTTTCCTGGGTCCCTCCCATGTATGCAGGAGGTATACATGTTAATAAACATCTTTGTTTTCTCCCGTTGATCTGGCTTTTATTACAGGGAGGTCTGAGCCAAGAACCTAGTAGGGTAGAGGGAAAATGATTTTTCCTCCCCCACACGCTCTCTTGCACACTTTTTCTTTGACCTCTGGTCTCCTGCTCCCATCGACTTGCTTGGCTTCTGCTGCTCACTGCTTTGTCACCTTCCCCTCAAAGAAACTACACATGGCCCTGTTTCTCCCCTACTTCCAAATGCTCTGACACCACCATTTCTTTGCTCATGTCTATCTACAGTGACAGAAACAAACAAAATGCCACCCTCCCCCTACCATATGCTCTGTGACAGCTAGAGCCTCACCAGCAACCCTGCTCTGTGTCACACATTATCAGCCAATCAACATTTGTTTATTAGTCTACAAATGTTTGTGGAATAAGGGAATGAAAGAATCTCTGACCGCAGGCTTGCTGAGGACACGCTAGCCAGCACCCCCTCCCTCCACAGCAGAGGAGGAGACCAGAGGTGGGAAGCAACAAGTTCAAATACATAAAAAACCAGGCACTCTTTCCTAAGTCCAGCTGTGAAGCCTGGAGCACTCCTGGGGGTGCTTTATTTGAACCTCACGACCACCCTGTGAGGAAATCTCAGTTGGAAGCACAGGTAGAATGGGGTCCCTCTGATGTGAACCCTGGCCTCCCAGGGCCCCCACCTCTTCCACAAGCGTGAAGACAAAAGACACCATTAACAGTCCCCAGCAGACAGAGTGAACAGTTAAAGGGGGGGAGAAAAGCAGTGATTCATCCATGAAAGCCCTCCTGCCTTACTAACTTCCTAACTTGGTTAAACTAATATCAAAGGCTTAAGCCACTTAAGTGCCTAAACTGGACTAACCGGTTGGGAAACTTTTTCTCTATTTTCCCTGTCTTTTCTTGAGCACCTTAAGCAACTCAAAGGCACAGCAAAAGCTGCTGTGTTGAGAAAGCATAAAAAAAAGAGAAAAAAAAAGAATTGTCATCCTATATCGGGACAAACACACTGGCCCCACACGGCCCTCTCTTTTTCAGTTCAGAGTGACAAGGACAAAAATCTAGAACAATTCTTCAAAACGAAAAAAG